TCTCTCATTCTCTCTCTCTTTCTCTCGCTCATTCTCTCTCTCTTTCATCATCATCAATATCATCCAAATCAAAGTGATTTTTTAGAACGGCGCACCGTAGCTATTGCCCGGCCTACTAGGTGCTCCATAACTATTGCTGGGCGTTCCATAGCTAGTGCTGGGTCCGCTGGGGTAGCCTCCGGGGCCTTGGCTGACCTGATTGAATTGGGCCACCTGGATAGCTTGCCTGATGCCTTCAAGATCGATGCCTACAACGCGAGTCTGATAGCTGGGCACACCATATTGCGTTGACGGGACGCCGTATTGCGACGATGGTGCCCCGTAACTAGAGCTAGGAGCATATCCGCCTCCACCAAATCCGCCAGATTGTTGGGACTGTAGTTCCTCCTTCAGAAGGATCTGACGGATTTGTTCGAGCAGTGCGCCGTCCACGGAAGCGCCTTCGCTAGTCTGATAGCCAGTGGATACTTGGGTGTAACCACCACCGCCGCCAAAGGCGCCACCGAAGGAGCCACCACCGCCAAAAGAGAAACCACCACCGCCGCCGCCACCGGAAGGTCTGCTGTAGCTGTAACCGGAGGACACAGGCGGCTCCGCCAGGGCGAACCCTGCCAGACCGACAATCATACACTGTAACATAGAAAGGAATTTAGTAAAACAACTTTAGTAAAACAATGAACTTGTTTGACTCTTTCATGATATCTATATGCTTAATTGTAACTGCAATCGAATTATATTACACACATACTAAATTATACATATATACACGCACATGCTAATACATATCTGTTGATTCATAGCAAATTGCATATTCTATAAATTATTATTTAAAATGACATATATAAGAATACTTATCACGTTTTTCAAAGTACTCAGCTAAATTAAAGATTTAAAAATCCAGATTTTTATAGAAAATGCTTATTATAAGAAACTTTTTATAAGTCACATTTAATTTTTTTATACTGTGTATATATTTTATTTATGTAGAATTTATTTACATTAATGAAGTACAATATGATTTAGAATTTTTTTGAGATTTCTCGAGAACTTTCAGATTTAAGTTTATTTATAAAAAAGCATACATTCCAAATTTTATTATCATATAGCTCATAATCAAAAAAAGATAAGTTATAGAAAAATATAAAAGTACACATATTTACGAGTTGAATATTTACTATTTCAACGAAAATTTACGGAATAGAGATTTTTTTATTAAATTTTGAATTCTTGAAATTTTATTTAAGCCTCAGTTATGAATTTTATAAATTGTTATGAATTTTTCGAGCAATGTAACTAAAATAATTGTGAAAAATCAATGACTAATAATTTTTTTGACAGGAAAAAACGAATCTAATTAAAAACAATGATATTTCGTAACTTTCGCTAATCGTACGTTTTTAATTCTGTATCATCATCGCTACTTCACGAGTGTAAGAAATTAAAGAGATACGAATAAAAAGGAAAGCACTGTTGTATTAAACGTCTCTATTAACGAATTAAAATGTGAAATGCGAAAATGTACAAGATCAGAGGTGATAATAAAGCAATAATAAGGATGCAAAAATTGGGAAAAAAGCAGCACTCGCTTTTTCTACCGAGATTTCGATCACTTGATGTGCTCCTTACACTCTTCCTTTCACGATTTCTCCCATCCGCACGCGTACGTACACTCATGCACCACATTTCCTTACTCGCTTTCTTTTTCCTTTTTTAGCCCTCTGCTCTCTCCATTTCGCACAAATATAGCTTCTTAATATAAGTATGAGAAAAAAAACGTGCTTACCGCGATCAGAGGATTCATGTCGGCTTCTGCGATGCCGCCTCAGTTCTGTGACTTCGTGGAAGGTAGACCGGAGTCATTTATACCCCCCAAGAGAAGCAGGGGGATATACATGCGGCCCCCACGAAGAAGAGACAGGGCCTCTCAAGTGAGAGTAATTCAGTTGTGAGACGATTCTCTCCCTCTCCTCTCGATCTCATACGTCTCTCTTTTATTCTCTCTAGACTCTGAACATCCACCTATCCTCTTCGTCGGAGGATCGCTAATATACTCGAGATTTCGGATAGTCTCCTCTTGCGAAACTCTTAGCCTCTTAAACTCTTAGTCTAAGTCTCCCTACTTACGTCCTAGACCTAGACTCTAGTCGAGTGCTTTGTCGTAACGGAGAAGCCTTTTAGTTCTGTAAATTTATTACGTCTATCTGCCAGAGATTAGTCTGCGTATCTTTTATATTTTCTATTTCTTTTTTGCTCGTGACTAAGATCTGTTTTCTGTGGCTCAATTTGTATATACTTTTGGAACTTAAAGTGAGATAGGTATATATATTTGATATTTGGAGAAAGTGAGACAGTTCTAGTGCAGGAATAAAAAACGGATCCAATATGTGCGGCTATATAGTGAACAATAAAATACAAATATAGCTCACATTTGTAAATCCCGCTAGAGAAATTAATATTCATTCTAAAAATAGTTTTTTATATTTCGTGAATATGTATTTATATTACGTTTATCTGGATTTGAAGAATATCTTTTCTTTGTTAAGCTTTATCTTCCCGAGGATTAAAAGCTTAAAGTAATAACAATTTTTGATCAATCCTTTTACAAATTAATCTGCATAAATCATGATAATTAATCAATTTTAAAGAGAAATTAATTTTTTATCGCAAAAATATTTTGAAAAGAAAGTTCATATTTAGCTCTACCAATTTTTATTAAAAATAAAATATAAAATTTAATATTAAGTAAGATTAAGTAAACATTGCTCAGCCTATGTAGCAACATTATGTTACAACATATCACTATAAAATGCTATACGTGTACCATTCTGTTAAATTAATTTTGCGCGACAAGAATATATAAAATGTTTGTTATGAAAGACATTCTATTTAAGATTTTACCTTGATGGATCATCGTTGTCAGTGAATAGTCTTTTTTCGTTAGATAATACAACGAAATTGATGTCATCACATATTCGAAAGCCAGAGGGTCGATATTCAATGACACAATTGAGTTCCTGGCTTATCGCCATATTATTCATTAGCTTTACTACTAATACAGTATTCATTTACTATTCGTAACGATATACAACCAGCGCATGCCAAACATTTCTCGCGATTCATAAAAGAATTAATTAACGGGCGTGAAATAATTCAGAATTCATGCGTTACATCGTGCAAGATAAATTTTCCCCTTTAAATGTCTCTCTAATTATAAATAAAATTCATCACATGTAAGTACAAATCCAAATATATATTTTGTAATGTAATATAAAAGAGAGTTCTAAACATTGATAAAGATATTTATGTATTAATTACAGTTGCTGTGACTTTATGACCGCGTATACTATAATAAGCTTCCAGAGTTCATAAACATTATTTATTCGACGAAGCTATAAAAGTACATTATGTAATAGAAGTTGAACTTAAAGGAATATTACGTAACAGATTTCCATTGTTCACGCGCAATCCATAGTACCGGATGTGCATCGAATCATTTCCTCATTGGACATTTTTTCGTAAATTGTAAATCATATTTTACGCCCCAAATATATTTTTTTGCATGTATCGTTGATTTATTTTTGTAATAATATGTGTAAAAGATGAATGATTGCCACGTTTAATATTTTATTTTATTTATTAATTTTAATTATATATTTGTTTGAATTCATAGAAATTATTTTATCTATAAATTTTTTATATATATTTATATAATGAAATATAATTATTTAATTTCAACGATATCGGTATATTTACTAAATCAGTACTTAATGGATAATATTTCGCTGATAAATATGTATATTACTATAGTAAAAAATGGATAAATTATTATTAGTGTTAAAAAACTAAAAAGAAATTATGAATTTATGTTTTTTTGAAAGTTAATATTATAAAATATTGTGTAAACGCATTATAAATAACTGAAATGTCTATAATCTATGCAACTTTTAATCTATCGATTTTCAATTGTTTAGGAAATGACTATATTAAAATTAACTGTACTGAAAATCTATGCTGCAAATCTGTACTATAAATGTGGAATATAGCCTATTTAGACAATCAGCAATAATCAAACGACTACACTGGATAGATCACTTGAAAGAAAGTTAATAGTAATTTCAAAGTGCTTGAGGTCACGCGACAACAATCATGTCACTCTCGATTTAGTTAATGATGCATCTTCCAGAGGAAAAGAGGATCCCTGCTTTTTAGCATTTTTTCGAGTAGAGGCTTGGTACAGCGTTACATCTAATCTAAATTTCGTAAAAATTTATGTATATCTCATTTAAAATAAAATAGAAACAGAATTGATTGAGAACACAGATTTTTCATATCATTGCCACGTTTTGTCCTTCGACGTATCTACTCTATTTTTTAAATGGTGATTTTAATTGAGGTCATGTCAGTCAACATATTTTATTGACATTGCGTAGGGAACATTAATATATTCCATATTTGAATGTTTTAGACAAGGATAATTAACCTGTATCGAATAATTAGTGAATGAAATGACTAGATCTGTTTGCTTATCAAGAAATGTCTCAAATTGATTAATTTTGGCACGTATGGATTTGATATGGAAATTTGATGTTCTCTGACACTAAGATTACTTTGTATTTTATAATACTTATATCCCTCATAATATATGCTAATTTCCAGCGCGTTTATAGGCAATTAGTACAATAATAAAAAGTAAGAATTAATTAAGACAAACATGCAGCGATGTTTTACGATAGATATATTTCATGTAGGCGATAATATGATATTAGAGAAAAATTGTGACATGCCGACGGGAAGAAATAATTTACTATCTGTAAAACTATTTTGTAAGGATGAGACCGAACGACGGACTGCACAATCATTCGGTAGAACCGTTAGCTCTTGGTCGCAGAAAGAGAGTCTCAAACATCAGGAAGAAAAGTACGCGGTTCGCCATCATTGTATCATCCGCGCGATGAAGCTTCCGTGCTTTTGGATAGACGTAATCATCGATCCTCTTCGTCTTGCATGCATCAACGTGCGGCTGCGCGTTGAGCATAAAATTAAAGTATTCCCGGTGCATTAACTGCACTTGCCCGGTCAAAGGAAAGGAACGCTGCGCCAATATCCTCCCGGCGATTTTAAACGATAATGATTTCATGTAACGCCAGATGGCTTTTGATCATACGCCGACCTATGACAAATTGCATTTTGAAATTAACGCGTGGAGAACAGCTTCAGCCAGGATTGCTTCAGCTAGCTTAATTGATGCGTCTAACTTCCGCAATCCAGACTTATTCTAGCAACTCACGACAGTAGTGAAATTCGCCCTACAGGTCTCAAACTCGTAATCGTGGTTTAAACTAATCGATGTCCGAAACGTAATTAAAAGGGAACTCGGTCTGTTGAATATTCACGACGGTGGGAGATTTGTAGGCGTCTAATAGAGGAGGAAGTCCATTACGGCTAGTCTAGCAACGTAGCGTGTCGGCCAATACATCCGGCTCCCATTCCTTGCCTCGGGGATGAAAAAGGGGAAAGGTGGGAGGTAGGGTGATGGCTAAACGAGAGGGAAAACACTTTCTTCGGTGAGGAATTTAATTATCCGGCCTGTGAACTCTCGACCCACTTCTTCGCGCGTATACGACCCTGTATATCTGGTCCGCTCGTTCCACCTCCTGCCTCCGCTTTCCTCTACGCTCCACGTTCGATCCGATTCGCCTGATCCTTCTTTTAGTTCTTTCCTTTTTGTTTTCTCTTTTTTTATCCCACTGTTTTGCGCTGTCCGGTTTGGCAAAGATCGACGATTATACTTTCACGTGTCCTTGCCATTCGCTCGCTAATAGATACGATTCTACAGTTGGACTATAATTTCGGCGCATGTATGCGGGAACTTTTTAGTAGACAGTTGTGTCTCTGTTGTGTTGTTTGTATCAGCAGCATTATATTCGATTACGCAAAAATTGTGAGGCAGCTGCAATCGGTGACCCGGTCGTTGGAGTCTACATTCGGTAGACTTCGTACACTGGAGAGAGATTTTTAATCTGGATGCTCCTTTTTGCCCACTCGTATGTTCGGAGATATAACAATAACGTTTATTTTCATAATCATTTTCTCATTTTATATATATATATA